TTTCGTTTAATGCTTAACATGAAAACCCAGATGAACATTATTTATGCATCAAGTTGTTATGCCCCGATAACAATAATGAGTTGTAATGTTTTCGGATCCAGTTATGGACCACTGCTATACTTATATTTTTATCGTATCATTGTTAAATAACTGCACAATTCATATTCATATCTCTTTTTTGTCATAAGCTTCTTTTTAACCTATGAACTGTTATTATACGATTTTTCATTCTTGAATCATTCCCTGTCTATTAGTCACTGCCTCCATCATTCACAGCCACATCTGACTAATTCTTGTACAAATGTTGTTTCATATTTTATTGGTACGTTGTGGTCTGTTTGATTGTTATATAAACTCAGTATGTTTTAAATATAATGATTCACATTGCAGAGGCTCGGATTGGGGTTCTGGACTTAACTGGCTGGGCTAGGCGGAAAGCAGGACCAATCAGAGCTCTAGGCTGGTCGCACGTGTTTTACGTATCCTTGATCCGATCGATAAGTTACTGCCCTCTAATCGGCGGTTACAAGTTATAACACAAGTAAAACTGGATTAAAACAAAGAAAAACGATTTAGTATAGGAATATTTTAACAAGTCACACAGGCCACACGCGGAGCCTTCAACCTAAAGGTCTGATCCACAAGGTAATGGAACATCTTAAGGAGTCCTATGGTAGTCGGTGACCAATGATTGGTTCATACGTCATTTGTTACTTCAGCATACTGAAGCCCATGTACACCATTGGTTTGGAACCCGGTTAAAGCGCCGGACATTCGCTTTTCGTCCTCTAAATTTCGTAAACAACACCCCCGCCATGAGAAGGCAGTGAGTAGGACTTCTCTGGCAGAGGCTATATACGCGTGGCCATGTGAGAGCATTTCGAGAGGGAGAGCGAACTCTCTCAACTCTCGGTCGTACTAGGGCATTTACTGTTTCAGTAAATTTGTTAAGTTTGATAGGGTTTATTTAGTTATATGGAGATCTTTTGGCCTCGTTATTATTTACTAGTACTAATAATATATACGGATGAATATCAAAAATTCTTTAACGTGAAAATGGTGATAATTGAATACATTTTAGACAGATAGCTAAATGCAATTCGTTGAACATGAGTGTATTCATGAGAGACATGCTCCAGGCTCAGTTTTATGATTACCCATTAACTATTTATGCATATTAATACCTACCACATGATGTTGCCTATAAGTTAGTTGCAAGTATGAAGTTTAACATAAGACGGGAAACTGTTTAATAAGGATAAACTGATTATAAGTTGTTGACAACAACTAAGCTTATGCGCCACAATTATAGATGATGTAATCTATTCATTACTTTTGTAGTGAACAAGAACATTGGTGGTGACAATCGAATGTATTTAACACAAAATTACGGGACTTGTTAATATAATCTAACAATCACTAAGTAAATGCTTAATTTGCAAAATGTCCATCAATTGTCTCAAAATGATTCAGACTTCATTGTTCTTGCATTTTCATACAAATTGTTGATAAGCCGTGACCAGTAGAGCTAATCCATGTCGGGTAGAAACAGGTGTCTACTTCAGGACAATGGAAGATGGTCGCTCAACTTTGTGGATTGGTCGCGGTTAGACATTAACACCATCTGATCCCGCCTCAGTGGTCCAGTAGGTTAAGCATTTGCGCGCGAAACTGGAGGCCCTGGGTTCGAAGCATATGAGCGGGATCGTGGATACGATGCGTACTGCTTAGCAGTCCCACAATAGGACGGAACGGCCGTCCAGTGCTTCCAGGTTTTCAATGGTGGTCTAACATCAATCGACTCATGATCTCAATCAGAAATTGCATTCTTTTCCGATTCTTTACTGTTTGATCCTCTTGTCTCACTGCTGCCAGACATTCTGTTCACGACTAACATCATATACTACTTATGTCAATATAAATAGCATACATCACACATTCACTTTTTGTTAATATCCGCTTAAAAGTTCATTTCTCACTACCAAATCTTATACACATTTACAGTCGTTTGTAAAGACTGCAGAAACCGTTTCATGAGCAAACTGATTTCAGATATAAATCACTAACTAACCACATTTGCACAATTTGAACTGTACTGTATAACATAAACAATCAAACTATACTCTGTTTAATGAGTTTAAGTGAAATTAACTGATTGTCCAACAGTGAAACTGTTTCTTCTCTTCTTCTATGCAATGAAATAATGATCTTCTCAACTAAATATTTTGCTTATTTCTTCATTCTATACTTCATCTCGTTCCAATCCACAGTGATCTTTTACTGGAATTAAGGGAATTATAGATTGTTCATTCATACTAACAGTACAAGTCATTCAATTGTTTGTATTGACGTCTACGATTTATAGAATAAAGGAATTTTGTCCAATTCATCAAATTGAATATAACATAACACCAAGTTCTATCATTGCTGTTACATCAATTATATTGTCAAAGTGAATAATCCATGGATTTAATTAATCAACATATTTCTGTTGACCTCAGCTATTCACATACATATCATTGATTACACTTTGTTGTCAACTATTGTGGCGAACAAGAACACTATGTCAATAAAATTTGAATACCATAAAGTCAATCGTCAATTTGCAAAATATCAATGTATCATATCAAACTGGACTGTTTCCGTTGCAAACACTAATCCATTGTCTCCCATTCCATTATATATGCGTTTTCTTACAAATTCCATTGTGTTCTTGCTCTTTCTTTCTTGATCTTCACCTCATCTTCTGCTGCCAGACATTACGTTTTAACTCGCGTCATATAATACTCATATCAATATAAGTAGCTCACACAACACTATCATCGCATTTCATTTCATTAATCAAATAATATGGTATTGTGCATAGTGACTATAATATGAATATAAATCTTAGTTGAAATTAAAAAACAATTTTGCATCCTAATAATGTGTTTAGGTGACTGAAAATATACCACACACACACACACACACCCCCACACACACACACACACACAGAACAGGAATGAGTGACATTCTCACTTCACGAAAGAATGCCACTTTTCTAAAAAGAAATACAAAGACAAATAAATCTTCTAGCCGTCAATCCACAAAAAGTATTACTTCAACTAAGAATAAACACTGCGACTGTTTGCCATCTAATTTCAAATGGAATTAGTGTTCGTATTCTCATGGATTCATCTAGAATTCTCATTCTGTGTTTATCAATCTATGGATGACCCAATAATGATTTCGATTCTTTGAGATCCGACTAGTTATTACATGCTGCGTACATTGGTTTATGAGATTGTGATGAAACATCCTGATGATATAATCCATATCACGTTATCAGTGAGACAGATTTACTCAACGTTACCCGATGTTCTTGAGAAACACATTTCACTGTTAGGAAAATGTATGCCTTCATTGAATATTGATTAAGTTTGGATATCATCGTCCAGTACATGTGATCAAATTTTACATAAGATTGAATACACTTCTTTATATCATTTGGTATTAAAGTTATTCTTTATTTTGAATACAGAAATCAAGTGGATTTCTCTATAATGATGTATTCTGATTACAGAAAACGTTAGTTCCCATGGGACTGTATTGATTAGACAATTCACATATATTCTTATTGAAGTCAATTCTATTGAACTTAATGTTAACGAATAAGACAAATTACGCAAAGCTTTGATATGAATGCATCACAAATGGACTCTTGATTTTATGAAAGTTATGAATGTCTATTGATACGGTTGGAAAACACAAATCGATAAAGTATCTAATGTTTGTTTAGTGCAGTGAAGAACTGTATCGAATAACTAGAAAGGATCGCATTTTTTCACTTGAAAACTTTCTTAGTGTTATACGGAACAATCAATTGATGTTAGCGGCTTTCGATTGAAGATTTAAAGGAATTCCAGTGATTATGTTATTTAACCATCAATCTAATTGTTAAACATAATGATTAATCTATAAAAAGCAAACAAAAAGATAGACCAAGATGTCGTTATGTGCCAGTATAAGGCGTCATATAAAACCAAGCACTATTGAGAAAAATAAACTCGTCAACACTGCTTAACTAGTCCGACACATTGTCAGTCTATCTATGTGTAAGATGATCAAAATCATATCCTGTATATTATATCCTAGTGAAGATTACATTACGAGTAACTTCTGCTGATACATATTCATTGACTAATATTATCTCTACATTCTTATGCTATGATTATTCAATAATTAGATTATGTATATTTATATTCCTTTTATGATAAGCTTTACTTTGACCGATATATTATTATCGTACGATTTACGGTTGTTAAGCTGTGTTCAGTTTATTGACTACTGCCTCTCACATTCACAGTCACTTTTTGGCAGTTTAGGAACTGAATATAGCATCTGATTAACAAGACTTATCATTTGAAAGAACAAACAAACTGTGGTTTTAATGTGTTGATAATTTGCTAACGAATAGTTTCAGTTTTGTATAGGAATATCATTGGAAATGCATATTGTGACAATATATTCTTTTCTATTTATTTCATATTATAATTATTATTAGTAATAATAATAATAATATAAACCATAGTAATAAGTGATTAACTCCGCCTGTAGCTCTTCTAGAGTTTCTACGGATACCATCAGCAACAGCCTTCTCTGGGAGAGAACAAACCAGCTTCCAACTGAAGAAGAAATTAGGAAAAGATGATGGAAATAGGTAGGAAATACATTATGAAAATCATCAAACTGCATCACGAGGCAAGCCCTAACTTGGAATCCTGAAGGAAGGTGGAAAAAAAGAGGAAGGCCAAAGAACACATTACGTCAGGAAATAAAAGTAGATATAAAAAAAGATGAATAACAACTGGAACAAGCTGGAAATGATTGTCCACGACAGGGTTGGATGGAGAATGCTAGTGAGTAGCCTATACTCTTTCACGAGGAATAACAAGCGTTAGTAAGTAAGTAATAAGTGATTGATGCCAAATAACTCATATCATAAAAGATAATAAAGAAATAAGAAACAATCAAAACAATGTATTCGACTAGAGATAAACAAAAAATTACAATCATATTTGTAAAATAATAAAAGAAGAATAGAAAATCAACAAATTGTGATTATGTCATTGTTATTATTATTATCGATAAGAATAAAGATGAAGAGGAAGAGGTAACAGTAGTGGCGGCGGTGGCTGCTGCTGCTGCAGCGGTGGCAGCCAAGGCGGTGGTGATACAATACGGACAAATAGATACAGTTAATTGTTTGTATTAAAAAGAAATTTTCGATCATTTCTAATGGATATTTGTATATTGTGAATGACTAGCATTATGATTATGATGATTATTTATACCATTGGCTCGTGTTTTCTCCCAATTGATTGCATAATTGTTACTACTACTACTACCACTACTATTACTACTATTAGTAGTAGTAGTAGTAGTGGTAGTATTACTATTTCGATGATTTAAAGCTGACGTTGAAGAGATTGTTGAATTAGGCGTTGTATATTGTATTGTACGAGTAGTATATAATGTTGTTGGTGTATAATTATGCGTTAATAATGCACTTGATGATGTATTATTATTTAATTGATTATGAGAATGATTAGGATGATGATGATGTTGGTGGTGTTGTTGTTGATGTTGAAAATATTGATTCGTATTTATGGTATTTAATTTATTATTTCTATTTGACATCGTTGTATAACGTGTATTATTGATAATGTTCATAGGTGTGGTATTAGTCTGACTGATGATTCCACTATTTGATTTTAAATGATTACCAGAAATAGCAATATTATTAGTATGATGATTATTAGTGTTTATAGTGTTACCACTACCAGCTGATGTTGCTGGAATAGCACCAATTCGTTGTAAATGACAATTTAAACATAATAAACGTTGTATAATACGTCCAGGTGTTCTAAGATCTGATTCATTGAAAGGATAACAACGATTATCCGTTTCATCACCTAAATTACGTTTACAATCCTAAATAAATAAACAAAATATTTACTGTAAACATCAACTATGAAATGCATTTATATCCAACAGACAAGTTCTAAACAGAACACAAAGATTGTCATTGGATTCTATTGCCTGTCATACAATGATGTAAACCAGTATTAAGTTGAATCAATTAGGAAATATCTAAGCTTCATGCATAGAAATCATAAGTTCTATGTTGAATGGATGTACATGATACTTATACAAACAGAAAATCAATAAAATGCAACAATCATTTTTCATTTATTCCTTCAATCATATTCTACACAGTTATCGTTTCAATGTTCTTTATCACAAAAACAGTCAGTCAGTAACAACGTAGAACTTCATACGTACGTACATCAGTTCGAGTTGCCACACCACTTTAGCACAGAGATGCAGTTGTCGATTCAAATCCCATAGTGGTAGAGGCGGTAAGAGTATAAGCAGTAATCGGAAAGATTAGGGTTTGAAGATGATTAGGCGAGTTTTTATTAAACATGATACATAATAAGAGTATAGGATTTATTTTGCCATTCGTTCATTTAATAAGAGATCATTGAACATTGAAGGGTAACTTTTAATAAAAATCTTATTTAAAGCTCTAACTTTTACAATGTTTGTTTGTTTGTTTATTTTTTTCATCCAACATTGTTGCCTATGAAACATTAGACATGTTCATTATAAAAGACAGTTGTTGATATCTCTAGTCTTCTTTGAATGATTCTGTTAAGTTTGTTTTACAATGTTTATACTCACTTCACCTCCACTCAATAGCGTATTGTTTTATACTACTTATTTATATTCAGTAAGTAGTTGTATTCGCAGCAATTTTTAAACTTACGTTGTAAAAGCCGAGTTCTTTCAGAATTCATGAGACCGATGCTCCTTATAACAATCAGAGCAAAAAATTTTATAGGTACATGGAACGTTCGAACAATGTGGAAGACCGAAAAGACCAGTCAAATATCAATGGAAATGAGGAGATACAACTTGCCAGTACTGGGAATCAGTGAAATCCATTGGACCCAGGTTGGACAGCAAAGGCTAAATACGGGAAAGATGCTGCTATACTCCGGTAATGAAGAGGAAAATGCTCGTACATAGACCAAACTGAGAAACTACGGATTCAGACTATTTTTGAAATATAACTGGAAACGAGAGCCGAGGACAGGGTTGGTTAGAGATTCCTGGTTGGTGCCTCATATTTTACTAGGAATAACCAGTATAAATAAGTAACGTAAACATCGAATTAACAATAAAAATCTAACAATATTGTTATCCAATCAATCAAATCAAAGTGAAAATCAAGTTATGGTTTCAAACCTAGAACTCATTATACGTAAAAAAAGATTGAGTACGCTTCATTCACATCTATTTTTTCTATTTTTCCAAATGTCAAGTCTTCACTTTTTAATGGAAACATTTACAGCCCAACAAATTCGGTATAATCCAAAGTTATGTAAGAAAAAGTTTATATTATCTATGAACTCATGGAAATATCATTTCATACCGTAATCAAATTAGAAAGAGTGAAACTATAATCTACGGACGAACCAATCAGGTATAAAATAACAGATCACAGATTTTTGGCGCGAAATTCATTCATTTATTTGGCTAAATAGATTCATGGCATTATAGCTGATATCAGTTCGTGATTAGAACACTAAATCGAATTCCTAACCTTAATCATCAGATGCAAATCATAATTCAAATTCCTCACACAAGTTGATAACCCTCATTTGGTCCTAGTTATTAGATCGGCACTCTGAAGGTCAATTCAACTTCACTCAAAGGTCGTCCATAAATTATAGTCTCACTTATCATACTACTTATTATTTAGTTAGTAGTATACAACTTAAATTTAATAAATTTGGTGCATTCTATTCAGAAATAAATATAAACTACTTACAATACAACGATAGCAATCAATATGAAACTCTTTACCAAGTGCCACAACCCGTTTCACTTCATTTGAACCCTAAATTTAAGTGAAATAGAGAAGTAAAAGTGAAAAGATAATAAATACATGGAAGAAAATGATGAAAAAACGCTGAAGAGAGATTATTATTAATACTGATTGTTAGTTCATTTCATACTTTATGATTTACCTACTAGTGTGTGTACAGCTTACTAAACATGATGATTTTTTGTCGCTGATATATGATGATGTACTCCGAGTAGTATATCTGTTTCAGACGACACAATGTCAATTCTTACTCTTCTGAGAGAAAAATTTCTCCGTGAATAAATGTTAAAATAAATTTTGAAACTATTTTATTGGCATTCTTGACATTTCTCCAGTACTGGAGTTTCAATATTTTCACAGTCTAATTCACGCCTATAATTGAATCCATGGATTGGAATATCAATAAAATCATAGTGTTGTTTAAAGGTCACACCATATATAAATATTGCTGAGAACGCTAATCACATCATAGCTTCTACCTATATGATCAGTCTCTATAAACTTGGATACATTTAGCTGACAAGTTACAAATAGAACGACTTGACTGTTCCCTATTCCACAAGTGTTAAAAGCGAACATGATTAGATGACTTCTTAACCTATCACCTAATCGTCATCAGAAAACTTAGTCTAATTTAATTCTTCCTATTATAAGCTATTCACTGTAGGATGTTGAAAGTTGGATACAGATATCAATAAAGAAAGAATATACCATAACTGATCAGAAAACATTTATTCAAATAGAAGATTTCATCTTGACAAAACATAAAATAAAGAACAAACCAATGAATATCTTAATATGTAACTAAAACCTTTACATATTTAAATTTGGATTTTCCCTGACCACAAATAGTTATAAGCAATAGAGAACCTACCATATATGTGCTTATCAATCAAGTTGCCACAATAGTATGAATTTAAGGAAGATAATCGTTATATTATGCCGAAAATTCATTAAACTGATGAAAATGGACTTTATATTAATAACAAATCAGTACAGAGAATAATACTCAAACTAGTTGATATTCGAATTCTATAGGATTGAAATTATCACAGAAGACAATGTCATCATAAAACAAGATAGACGTATATCTATCTTTCTAAACTCTATTATAGTATTCTATAGCATCGTATTACCTAATTTTATTGTTATGTTTGTTGGGGACTTTAGATCCCCCAGAACTCACTTGAGAAAGGAGCTAATTTTGTAATTTTATTTAGAAAATTTGAATTTCTTTGTTTTCGCGCCAAAGGCGCTCTTGTCACTTTCATGTTGTATTTCCCACTGGGAAATATCTTAAATGCTATTAGTCCCCGAGAACGGTTTTGTACTGTATATATACGTTTTGAATTGTGTTTGTTGTTATCGCTCGTTTCTTGCTGTTTTGCAGAATATACTTCCCATTCCAAGCTTGGACTCCTCCCTCTAGTTAGTGGGGCTGGGACGCATCAATAGCTAGCTTACTAGTCTTTAGTCACAGAGTCTTGCTTCTCGTTCGCAGATTAAGTGAACTCGTGATATCTTCAACCCTAGCTGTGTTACAGCACAATAAAAGTTCCCTTAAAACTGATAATTTGAAGGAAAAAAAGTAGACAAACTGAGAAACTCTATACTTTTATGAACATTCATTTTCAAACGTAATCTTGATGTGCATTTATCAATTCATTTAGCTTTTATCAACTGAGGTTACTTGTGATGTCCGTCCGCCAGTCAAAGTACAAATATTTCACACAATAATTAGTTATGTTCTACTCTATTCCTATGAAACGTGACCTTTTAAAACAGGATAATCGTAGATTGTCGATATATGATCAGAGACACCTTCGAAATATTACACCTGTATGCTGGAATAGTTGAATGAGCAACGTTTTGTTAAACCATAACAAAATTAGCCAAATATGGCAAGCCTATTAATGACAAAGTGAGTCTTCATTAACTGAAGGAATTGAAACATGTTTGGCACATAGCTCAACCACTACCTGCCCAGCCGAGCGATGTTAACTGAAGTGAAAATAAGTGAGAAGAAAGGTGGAGTCTGCCAAACCATTATATGATATTAGTTCATGTCGTTATTGATATCTGCGTTGAACTTTGTAGTTTGATCCACATTAATTAGTTGTATTCCGTACGATTATCATAACCAATGTTTAAAGACTTTATATAACATGCATGAGAATCAGTCTTAAGAATACAGATTCATTCACTTTTTTATCTTTTCGAAGATCTCGACTTTTGAAATTATCTTATACTTTTACTTCAAAAAATTCATTCTCTCTTTCTTGAATTACATTTTTGTGAATAATCTTTCCCATTACCATTAATCCTGCTAACTCTTCCTCGAGCCCCTGCGGGGCTACTGACGGTCCCAAGCCCGGATGAAGGAGGAGAGTTGAGTATGGGGCTAACGATCCCATCCCGTAGAAAACTAATTCGCTAAAAAGTACGCTGACCAGAAAAAATAATTCAGATCATTTAAACTCTGTCCTGGGAGTTAGAAGGTCTTCATTTAGAAGAGTTATGATGCATCATGGTGAAAGCCGAGTTCCTTCGCAAGTCACGAGTCTGATGCCCCTTCTGACAACCAGAGCAGCTATTTAGTTTCATGGAATGCTCGTACAATATGGGAGACCAGAAGAGTCATTCAAATTGCTACGGATTACTAATACTTCTACTACATTGACTGCTCTTATATTTATGTTGATCGTTTCAACATGTTTCACGAATAGGGTTACAAAACTTGAGCTAATATATATGCATAAGGATCCAGATTGCTAGTAACTGACCGATTTAATGAATTCCCATTGTAAGTCAAAATTTGTTTTCTAAATAATTATTAAACTTACCTCATCTGGCATAATCACTAATCCACAAACAGCGCATAATGGTCCATTAATTAAATGATAATCCGGTAAACAATAAATTAAATTATTTGAATCAATAGTAAATGGTATTCCATCTAAACATTTCGTACAAATACAACATCGAAAACATCCTGGATGATATGTTTTCCCAACAGCTAGAAGTATCTATTAACAACAACAACAACAACAAAGAACAAAGAACAAATACATTGACATCTCTTTTGAGATAAGAATCATCATTCATGGTGTAGTATTAGTTGCTATGTTAAGCTCATATTACCTTACTCTAGCCGTCGTATAGGCCAATCTATTCATTCTACTTGAGTCAAATTCTGACCGTGTTAATTATTCACATATCAACTTTGACTGTTTTTATATAAGCGTGTATGTGTGTTCCCTTTTTATCCTATTCATCACATGTTTGTAGCTTAATTTCGTGTGACTACAAATATTGATTAACTCTTGACTAAAAGGAGATGGCTCACATGCCTTCTCCACTGCGTGTCGTTTCACTCTCATCTTCACTACCTTCGCTACATTCCGATCAACGATTGTACAAAATATATGTATTGGGAAATCCATTCTTCTGTTTGACTTTTTTAATTCTGTTGTTCACTAACGTGATCAAAGTCAATAATTATATACGAGGAATAACGATATGTCTATCTCAATAGCAATCAGAGACGATCAAACTGGAGTCAAATCCCGGGTCATTAAAATAGTTTCACTGCAAATTAATACTGACTAAAGAAGAAACATTGAAGATCAAGATGAGAAGGGAAAAGAACATTTGAAAGTAGTGAATAAGAAATCAGGTGGGGATAATCAACTTATTGTTTAGTAGAAAACTACAGAGTTCTTTCGTAAAAATGTGAAAAACTATAAATTGAATACTCCATTTGCAAATCCTTTATCAATTGTCTTAAACTCAATCGTTCCTTCATTGCTATTATGATTGCTCTCGGTTTATATTCCCGTTCTTTTCAATTTGACTTTTTCAACCTTCTACTATCAGGCATTTCACTTGTGATTAATGTTATATACTACTTATGTTTATTGATATAAGTAGCATACACTACGACAGTACACACCGAATAAATAACATGAAATTCAAATACAATACATTTCAAAATTCCCTGTAAACCAATGAGTTTAATATTGTCTAAGAGTTTAACCCATCGTTTTTCAAACCCTGCAATGAACTCTAATTTGTAGCGTCTATTAACGACAAGGATGTGTCATAAATATACTGATGAAGACTTCTAACTTCAGAGTTCAACCTTCACTAATTAATAATTAATGTCAGAAGGGGTTTTATGGAGATTTTAGTAATTTCAATAATTGAAATCATGAGTCAATGAAAGCTAGACCACCACAGAACACCTAGAAGGACTGGAAGGTCGTTTCGTCCTAGCATGGGATTCCTCAACCTTGCATATCCACGATTCCGCCCCCCGCGAGATTTGAACCCAGGACCTATCAGTCTCGCACGCAAGCGCCTAACCATTAGACCACTGACCCGGCATCTTATGGTGCTAATGTTTAAGTTCAAGCAATCCACGAAATTGTGCTACCGTACACCATCGTCTTCAGTGAGCTGATATCTCACAACAGACCTGGTTGAACTCCACTGGTCACAGCTTCTCATTAGAACTCCAGGAAATGCAAACAATCACACTCCAAACTTTAAGTTTTATTCGAATAGTCAAACTGATGAGATCAGTTGTATAAAACAGGTTAATCTCAATGTAAAAGAAACTCCGTATTTGTTTATCTAAATGAGGTCTAATAACTGATTCAATGAAATACAGTAAATGTGTACAATAAAACTATATGACAAATTGAATAGCAAACCATTAACATCTTGAAAACTCTATAGCAGCTCACATTTAATTTGCTTAAGCCTTTTTTTGTTAACTTATTTAATAGACAGAGACATTCGTACAATAACAACTTATCTTCTACCATTGTACCTTTATTATTGTTGCACTTGTATGAATATGTATGCTTGAGCATCACTTTGCTTACTGCCTACGTATATATTCATTGTGCTAGCCTTACTATTAGTCGCTTAATTGATTCGATGATTCATTCATTTCATTATGTATATACATATACATTTTAATCATGTTCATTGACTCGCCAACTCGCTCATTCGACTCACTCGCTTGCCTGCTTGCTTTTCAGCACTACCTGTAAATTTAGTTATCTGTGTGAGGTGTAATAATCAACTTAATCAATACTTCGTATTCACCTTCTGATTAATATATCGCTGGGGCATTATCTAGTGATGATTATTACGACGAATTGTATACCAAGTTTAAGGATTATATGGAATACCGATCACCACAACTCTTCCTAACTCATCCTGTATAACATATAATAGTTTAAACAAGGTGTCAGTACCATGGTGATAAAGTAATATTAATAAAAAATAAACAACACTTTATCATAATAATCAATAATTTTATGTATCATAAATTCTTGGTGCTTCAAGTAATCGATAAACAAACAGAACACTCACAAAAAAATATCAAACCTATTTAGTAAATAATTTTGACAGTCATTTTAACTGACTAAAAATATATATATTTAACTTAGTGCTCAGAAAATTTACTCTGTCCCATGAAATCTAAGCTAAATACTGGAAGTGAACGATGCCTAGACTGATTTACACTTTACTTTTACTTAATTCCTGTTACTCCTAATGGAGCATAGACCGCCAACCAACATTCTCCAACCCATTCTGTCCTACGCCTTCCTTTACAGTTCTATCCAATTAATGTTCACTCTTTTCATGTCTGTCTGACTCCATTTCTCCGCATAGTGTTCTTTGGTCTTCTACTCATCCTTTGACCCTCAGGATTCCATGTGAGGGCTTGTCTTGTGACACGGTTGGGTGCTTTCTTCAGTGTGTGTCCTATCCACTTCCAGCGCTTCTTCCTGATTTCTTCATCCACTGGATTCTGGTATGTTCTTTCTCACAGTAGGTTGCTGTTGAGAGTGTCTGGCCGACGGATCCCAAGTATTTTGCGTAGACAACTGTTGATAAACACCTGTATCTTCTGGATGATGGCTTTCGTAGTTCTCCATGTTTCTGCCACATACAGTAGAACTGTCTTGATATTTGTATTGAAAATTCCGACCTTGATGTTGGTTGACAGAGAGTTGTTTTGAGTTCCAGGTGTTCTTCAGTTCTAAATATGCTGCTCTTGCTTTACCGATCCACGCCTTCACATCTGCATCAGATCCACCGTGTTCAACAGTGATGCCGTCCACATATGTAAATCTTTTCGCATCTTCTAAATCTTCTCCATCAAATTTGATTTCATTGTTGCATGCTGTGTTGTATCGGAGAACCTAGCTTTTCCCGTTATGTATGTTGATTCCTAATGCTGCTGAGGCTACTATTACACTGGGCGTATTCTCCTTCATTTCTTGTTGCATGTGAGATAGAAGATCCAGATCATCTGTGAAGTCTAGATCGTTCAGCTGCACCCTAGCTGTCTACTGTATCCTGTGCTCCCCCCCCAGATGTTGACGTCTTCATAATCCAGTCGATCACCAGGAGAAAGAGGAAGGATGAGAGTAAACAACCCTGTCTGACACCGGCCTTTACTTCGAACGAGTTTGTCAACTGTCTTCCGTGCACTATTTTTCAGTTTAATCTGTCATAGGAACGCCGTATGGTATTAACTATCTTCCCGGACACGCCGTAGTGTCGAAGAAGCCTCTATAGTGCTGTCCTGCCTACGCTATCAAATACTTTCTGGTAGCCAATAAAGTTGATGTAGAGTGATGAATTCCATTCAATCGATTGTTCGACAATGATCCGTAGTGCTGCGATTCGGTCTGTACACAATCAGGTCTTGATGATTTCCCTTTATATAGTAGGTACATCAAAAAACATTCAATCTAATTAGTTTAGTGCTATGAATCAGACTAGTTCTAAACTAATTGGATTGAATATTTTTTGACGTACCCACTATATAAAGTGGAATTATCAATACTTGAGTAGGCAGGTAGATATCAATAAATCCATTGGAGAATAGTTAAACTTACAGTCTCAGCAATAATATGTCCACATGCGAAACATTTCTCCACTGTTTGTTGGAACCCACAATACTGAAAAAATAATAATAATTAAATAAAAACTGAATGTTAAGACTACAGACAATGAATCTGTGTTCGCTGAGTTTTCGATCTATAACTCTTTTGTGAAAATTAAATAGAGAATAATTAACACAGTGTTGTATAAATGAATATATTTACAGTTTTCACCTAAGTAAACCTAAGTTTCTGATTAAATTTCCACAAACCAGCTTCCAGCTGAGGAGGAAATAAAGGAAAGAAGATGGAGGTGGATAGGACATATATATTACGGAAATTATCAAACTGCATCACGAGGCGAGCGCTAACTTAGAATCCTGAAAACGAAACGGAAAATAGGAAGAGGAAGGAACATACTGAGTCGAAATTCGGAAGCAGACATGAAAAGGACAAATATTAACTGAAAAGAACTGGAAAGGAATGCTCAGGATAGGGTTGAATGGAGAGTGTTAGTGAGAGGCCTATGCTACTCCACGAAGAGTAACAGGCGCAAGTAATTAAGCGTACATTTTACTTCGAAACGTTAAAGCATGCATTTTACATCTTATTCACTCAGATAAAATGAAAAAAATAAAACAACCAAACAGCATGTCTTTCTACACACAACTAATCGATTTCATTTAAGCGTTGCTCGCATCTGCTGGGATCACCGGGTAATTAATAGTAAGGTTAGAAGTAGGGTATTAGGGTATGATGGTAAATCGGCTGATGAGATTGTGAATTATCATCGACTGAGATGGTCGGGCTACGTGTTACGTATGACTGAACACCAACTACCAAGACGCGCAACGCTGACTAGTGTAGGGGATGGTTGGAAGAAAGTTAGGGGTGGGTAAGCCAAAACTTGGGATCAGTGCTTCAAGTCGCTAACTTCTAGTCTTTGCCATGTTGGTAGATGCAGACTACTTGTTTGGGGTCCGCGTGACTATCGTAACCGATGGTTGGAGACTCTGAGTGACATGGCTCAGATTCGACCACAATGGCGTCGGTGTATACGCTCTCTGTCTTCCCTTAAACTAAGAGATTAAAATCGCTTTATATCTTTCTTTCTACGAACTAATTCTTTCCTCCTGTACTATGTCCTTATATGCAATCTTTCTTTTATATATTACACGATGGACTTAACTGCTTTTATGAATCCGGTGTTCGTCTTGCTGTGTTAATTAGGTGTGTACTAATTATAATAACAAGTTCAATGTTATATTTTAATTTCAATTACGAACAATCTGTGTACAATATTTTCAAATATTGATTAGGTAGTTTTTCTGTGAGTAACTCTGTTTTTTCATTATAAAAATATAATGTACATCATATTTGAAAGGGTTAATATCATTATGTTGTCTTATATCCAAAACTATATACAAGTAATCAATATTTATTGATATAGATTCATCCTTAGAGAATTGTCACGATAATGTCTGTTGCGTGAGGAAAAAACAGTGTTTGATGTAGTAGATACTGAAGTCAACTTTTACTAAGTCCAAAAAATGAAACAAAACGAGTACTCTGGATTCTACTTCTAATCACAATCCAAATATTACGTAGGTATCATTACAAGAAAACTCCATCTGAAGCATCTCTGAGGTTACTGCCGGTCCCAAGCACGGATAAAGGAGAAGGTTTGAGCATAATGTTAACGACTCTATCCTGTAGAAAATTATTTCGCTAAAAATGCGCTAACGAGAAAAATTAATTCAAACCATTTAAACTCTGTCCTGGGAGTTAGAAGGTCTTCATTTAGAAGAGTTATGATGCATCATGGTGAAAGCCGAGTTCCTTCGCAAGTCACGAGTCTGATGCCCCTTCTGACAACCATAGCAACCATTAAATTAGGTATGTGGAATTCACCTACAATGTAGGAGACTAGGAGAGTCTTCCAAATTGCTGCAATTGAAGAGATACAAGCTGGAGATGCTTGGAATCAGTAAAACACATTGGACGCAGGTTGGACAACAACGACTAGCTTCAGGGGAAATTCTCTTATACTCCGGCCATAAAGAAGAAAATGTTTCACATACACAAGGAGTCGCACTTATGCTATCATTACAACAAAATGTGTGTATATCGATTTCGACTATAAATGTATGTATATGTCATTGCGTAGTAAAAGTAAACTATACTATCGAATTAATAAGATTTCAGACAGCAGCTATTGGATTTTAATGAGATATTCAAAACACATTGATAGTTAAGTTGTAACATATTTGAAGCTATGTTAGAACTGAATAAAGTCCATCTATTTTTTGTTAGGCATGTTTCCACTCAAGATTAGGGAATAGCAAGGAACTTGAAGGATTCTTGGGGTAGGTGTGTGAAATTTATGAACTCTTCAGAGAAAAAAAACACAAAACAAATAGGTTTGAATTATACAACATATTGATAGGATTGTTGAATTAATTTTGGATCGATTTCAAAATTTTCAGTGCGGCACTATACCTGATGGATGAGACAAACAGATTTACGATAGAACTTTTAAATGTTTCACATAAAATCTGTTCAAGCATAAGGTTACAAACCATTCTTACATCATAGATGATGCCAGTTCATGATCCATCCCTTATTTTTATCCCTATCCGTCTAATATAAGAATTAGTTAACATAAAAAGTTTCATATCAGAAGAGGATTTTGTGGATATGATAGTAATTTCAATGGTTAAGATCATAAGTCTGTTGAAGATAGATCACCATAGAGATCGTGGATACGCACTGCTAAGGAGTCCCACAATAGAACGACGAAACGGCCGTCCAGTGCTTTCAGGTTTTTCACGGTGGTCTAGCTCCAACTGACGTATGATCTTAACCATTGAAATAAAACGATTCATCATAAATTCTTTTCACAATTTAATGTTGCATATATATATGCACATAAGCTTGAAAATGTTATTAAATCTTACCAGATAATCTTCTTCACAATAGATTTTATCTTGATCTTTGTAAAATACTTTCCCGCGTAAAGTTCTCTCTAAATCAATCAATTAAAACATAATAGATAAATGAATATTAAAATCCAAAAAGCATTAGAAATAATATACAACTGACAATTGATACAGGTTCGATGATCTTTCTATTCCCTTTCCATTAAAAAAAATCAATTATAATTGATAAGAAAATCTGTAGCTATTGGAGGAATCAATGGTTCTATTGTACGGAGCTGCAACATGGAGAACTACCACAACTATCATCAAGAAGTTACAAGTATTTATAAATAGTTTTCTACGTAAGATACTCAACATCCATCTGCCGGATATCATCAGCGACAGCCTTCTCTGGGATAGAACAAACCAACTTCCAGCTGAAGAGGAAATTAAAAAAAGATGATGGAAATGGATAGAACATACATTACGGAAATTATCAAACTGCATCATGAGACAAGAGCTAACTTGAAATCCTGAAGGAAAGTGAAAAAGAGGAAGGCCGAAGAGCACATTACGTCGGATAATAGAAGCAGATATGAAAACGATGAATTACAACTGGAAGGAGCTGGAAATAATTGCCCAGAACAGGGTTGGATGGAGAATGCTGGTGAGCAGTCTATGCTTCTCCACGAGGAGTAATAGGCGTAAATAAGTAAAGTAGATCAATATTTACTCATTTAATCGATATTTACACCTTTACATAGAGTGTAAACATGAAAAATCAATTGCTAGATTGTAATTCATCGATTTAATGTATATTGAACGGCTATTCAGAAAGGAGTTGTTTTGACCGAGTTCCTTACCGAGAAGTAATTCTAAGATTGATAAATTATATTAGTAACAGTTTGGATTAACTTATAGTTAATTTCAAGAAAAAAATCTTAATCAATTGTAGTTCATATACATAAATCTTCAACAGATCGACTTAATATAGCTACTTGGTCACCGGTCGTATAAAATTGATCAATTGTGTCTAGTAGTGAAATCCAGAATAAACATTTCATTTCTTACTTTCCAATGTTTTTGTTAAAATTTAGGCTCAAAGCCAGTACCTTTTGTTTCCAATTCTAGTACAATATCCACCTGACGACTTAGTTCAAATACCTACTAACTTGTTCAGTAGGGCAAAATAAGCTTCCGAGATTCCATTGCTGATAAAAATTTATTTATCCTTGAAAGTTTTAGCAAAATGCCAGTATCTAGTTAATGCATTCACGATTCACAGATGAAGTTGAAGTAATATTCTGGTTCCTGTATCGGATAAGCCAAAATGTAAGGCGGACCTCAAGAGATCCTAAACACACTATTGGCTAAACCATGAACCACAATAATTATACTCAATATGTAATTACTGTATTTCACATCATATCATAACGATTGTATGGTTTCACAATAGACATATGTTTATCTATTCTAAACGTCTTAACAAATAAATATAGGCAAGTTTTATTTACCATTTAACAAAATAGAAAGTGACTTTATTACTTAATTGAATTCAACTAATCCAATTCCACTGGGATTACTAGTCTAAATGGCTAAATATTGAGTAAATTATTACTTTTTTTTTGGTACTAAATGGTTGTAGTTCATAGGCAGCTTTGAATCTAGATTTTGTATAGTTCGCATTATTTACCCTCTAATAATGTCATTCTTGCCAATAATAACCATTCTCTACACGAGATTTGAACACATCATACTCAACATCACAGTTGAGAACATTGCAACTGAAATAGTAGATTATCTGTGCTAAGAAATTGCTAAAACCATACCATGTTACTTAGTTTCTTGTTAATTATCTCTTCAAAGGACAACCTCATCCTCATATTTGGTTATTAGTGTTTCTAATTTTTCATTTTACTATGTGCCCTCATTGGTTATGACTGTGAATAAAGAGTTGTTCCTTTTTTGAAACTGACTTCTGTACAATATATAAAGTTATCCTGAAAGTGCAGTCTTCCCTATTAAAGTATGAATTATTAACATTGAAATGTGTCCGTGTGATAATCGTCCAGTCTATTCGAGTTCCTATTCGTTTCACCTCATTAAAAGAAGCCTCAATTGTTCGTAAATAGAATTTACCATGGGCCAACCGAAGCCGAAGTACTTTAATTATTCATTTTATGACTTAACAGTATTTCCATATTGGAATAAAATGGCTGTCTAATGCTCTATAGTTTTTAATGGTACTCCAATTATGATTATTCTAATGGCAAATACAGCTTACAGATTCTTCTATTTACTTATTTATTTGAACACACAGACATTGTTACGAGGGGGCACTAGATACATATGCGCCATACAAATCTCATTTGATTTGTATGAGGGCTGTGATACTGCCCGGGTGTCCAAATCGGAACATGTGGTTTTCTTGGGGGGCCACACCTGGAGCCTTCGACATGAAGGTCTGATCCACAAAGCAGTGGAGCAACGTAACGAGATGCAGTCCCATGGTAGCCGGTGACCAACGATTGGTTCATACGCCATTTGTTCCTTTAGGATACTAGAGTCCATATACACGATTGGTTTGGAATGAGGGTTTTCCAACCCCCCTAAGTGGACTCTCCGTGTCCACTAACCTGGTTAAAGTGCCGGACATTCGCTTTACATCCTCTCAATTCCGTAAACAACACCTCCGCCACGAGAAGGCAGTGAGTAGGACTTCCTTGACAGAGGCTATATACGCGTGGCTATGTGAGAGCATTTCGAGAGGGAGAGCGAACTCTCCCCACTCTCGGCCGCAGCAGGGCATCTTCAATCTAAAATAATCTCTCTACACAAATCTTGATCATTTCTATATTTTTATTAGTGCACATTAGAGTTAGGTCATTTTTGAACACAACAACCCCTTGGATAACTCATTGGCTATTTGGTGCAAAAAGTACTAGATTCGGGTCCTAATATGAACGTCAACACTTTGAAGTAGATCTTAAATAAAACAAAACGTGAGGTCCATGTTCCACTAATAGTTAAAAACCACTTAATCATTTCTTTTTTGATCTAACTTTAAAATATAAATGACATTTATTACTTATATCATGTAAATAATTAAATTACCAATATCCATTCATATCCCAATAACAATTAAATCATGATAATTTCATAGGATCAAATGGACTAAAAGCACTCAACAGTGCCATCATAAGACATCTCCTTAACACAGGATATGAAGTCGATATACTGAAATCCTTCAAGGTGATGAACAAACAATGAAACTCCAGCCTTTTGAAATTTATCGAAGCAATAGCAATCAAACATCTAAAACCAGATTTATGTATACAAAAAGAGACAGTAATAAATGTTTCTTTGCCCTGGTAACACTAACCTCCCTCTTTTATTTATTTATTACGTCATTCATTATTCCAACTCTTTCTGAAGTTGAAATTACATCATACATAACTGATTGATTTCTATTCATGTAGTTTCTTTATTACCATTCATCGGCTTCCAGCCGCCTCATTACATAGTCCTCTTATGTTTGTTAACTCTCTAAGTTCTAATCACTAGTTCAATGTTCTGGAATTTTCCCTCTCAAGCTTTACTTATCTGAAACAAACAACTTCTAATGACCTTATTAGACTCTATTGAAATCTTGGCTACATCATGATACACATAGATTCATCCATTAATCACCCACTTATGTATAAGTATTGTCAATATCCTGTAAGCATCAGAATGGGTTTTGTGGAGAGTTTTAGAAATTTCACAGGTTGAAATTATGAGTCAGTTGAAGCTAGACCACCATTGAAAACCTGGAAGCACTGGACGGCCGTTCCATCCTGGTATGGGACTCCTCAGCAGTGCGCATCCACGATCCCGCACCACGCGGGGCTCGAACCCAGGACCTACTGGCTTCGCGCGCGAAGCAGTTGATAAGAACTTAACGAAATATAAAATGAATCCATTTATTTATTCTATAGCAGTTGTCATTTTTGTTCTTTGATCTTTGAATAAATTTCAACTATGTGCTTATTGATTTCCTTTTGTTTTGTTTTTGTTTTTGCTTTTTTTACCTACACAATTCTGTATCATTTCTACCTATACTCTCATTTATATCATGTATGTCATAATATACATGGATACACAATATCCACGTATACTCAAATAGTACACCATTAGCAACAACAACAACAACAGCAACAACAATAAAATATTGACTTTTTACATAATCGTAAAAAAATTGTACTACTTAATAGATGTTAGTTATCAATCATAATGTCACAATCTATTTCACTGTATTTCTTCTGAAAAGTTAATGATTTATATGGGGTGAATATGATTTGAATTATTAATTATATTTCGTACAATAACAAACCTTCTAGCAACACAAAATGATAAATACCATTCAATAACATAAATAGGTAAAGATACTACTACTGTAGTGAACAAGAATACGAGTGAGGACAATCGAATGTATTAAAGAGCATCTCACTAAAATTTGAGAACCATATAGTAAATAGCTGACTGTTCCTTTAGCAAATATCAATCGATTGTCTCAGATTTCATTATTTATGTATTTTCATATCAATTGCGTTCCGTTTCCGTTCTTTCCTTATCGATTTTCTGCTGAAATACATTCTATGTCTCACCACGGTTATATACTACTTAAATGGATATAAGTAACCTACACCACATTATGAGTCAGTCAGCTAGGACCTGATGCACATTTGTTATGTTACTATTATATCCTAGCGAAGATTAATTTACGAGTAACTTTTGAGAACTATTAGTTGACTAATAGTATCTATACATTCTTATGGTATAACTATCCAGTAACTAGATTGTGTATATCTATATTCATTTTATTATAAACTTCATTGTGACCTATAGATTATTATTATTATACAATTTACTGTTCTTCTGTTATGTTCAGTTTATTAATTACTGTCTCCCATGTTCACAGCCACGTTTTGGTTTTATTTTGCATAAATTTTATTTCTTATTTTGTGGTGCGATACTGTCTGTTATAGAAAACAAGTATGTTTGAAATAAAGGATTCGTATAGCGGGAGCTGTTATTGGTGTCCTGGACTCAACTTGGACGAGCTAGGCTAGTAAAGGACCAATAAGGACGCTAGCCTGATCAGACCGGTTGAACATCATTGGTTTGGTACAGTACAAGAGTGGATAAGGTGTATTTCTATTGGCGAATTAATTATGTGATAACTAGCTTCATTTAAAGTCACAACAATTACCATACTAAGACTGTGCAGAGAAATTTCACCCGATACCAATCTACCAGAACCTTGGGAATTATTCTTGAGATCGATAACTCTTTATCACATTATTCTCGTAAGGGAAACGCTTGTGAAGATTCTTCAATTTGGAATTAATTTCCACTCGTGTATAACATTCCCAATCATGGTTGCTGCCTCAATGTAGTGGTCGAGCATGACTTTTGTGATGACCCAATATATTGGCTGAAACATTTATTCCTTCAGATTCTATTGTCCTAACTAAGTAGGTTATAGGTCAGCACATCAGTCGGTTATTGTTGACTGACAGACTAAATCTAGCTAGAAAATCAAATAAAACCAGATAGCAATTGACAGCTCTTTTGTCCCAATTTGTAGGATTATTTGGTTTTGAATTCACATGATTGAGCACATTGAATGGTAACCAATGTTATTTAAGTCTCCAAATATGGACAAATTTTAATCAATCACATCACAATATGACTACTAATCTAAAGGACTTAATATCATATGTTGTAATTTTCTGCTGTTATATGATTGGAGTCAATCAGTCTAAATAGCTTGATGATAACTTCATTGAATAGTAAGACTGAATGATGCTTGTTCGAATCTCAAAAGAGAGTATCGATTCTTTCAGAATTTCATTAGATTTGTTCTTCTAAAGACATTTAATAAAGCAAAAATTTCATGTCAATTAAAATCCCCTGCCGATCGCTTTCAATCTAGAATGATACTAAAAGAATGAACTTTAATAATTATTTGTTAGTTACTAAGTAGTATCTATACTAACATTAATTCAAAATAGAAACCTTCACTTGTTTTGTATTTACATAGAATCGGATAAGGAAATATATATATATATATATATATATATATATATATATATATATATATATATATACAGGAGGTTGGTCGCGGCCCGGATAGCTCAGTGGTAACGTCTCTGACTGTGAAGCTGGGTGACACGGGATCGAATCCGCCAGGGAGCACCAGTTTCCTCAAAATTACAGGCACACCTTGCTGAAAAGTGCCAAGTAGCACGAAACCCGGGTCCAGGGTTTCCTGTCGACTACCTCCAACCACCATCTAATCTCAATATATAGTGCCCGCAATGTCGAGTCACCTAGACTGATGGACACATTGCAATATGAACAATAGCATTCGATCTGCACTAAATGAGGACTTGACACACATGACATTGATCACCACCCAGTGATCAATCAATTGTGATACTGTTAAGGTGATACACGAAGGAAAACATCATTATTTCTTAGATGTTTGATGACACACATTGAGAAAAGCACCCAACTGCGTCATCAGGCAAGCCCTCATTTGGAATCCTCATGGCCAAAGGAAAAGAAGAAAACCAAAGAGCACATTACATCGGTAAAGGGAGACAGATATGAGAGAAATGAAGAAAAATTAGATAGAACTAGAAAGGAAGGTGAAAAACAGAATGGGTTGGAGAATGCTTGTTGGCGGGCTATGCCCCATTGGTAGTAACAGGCGTAAGTAAGTATTTGATGATTCATATAACTTTATCTCTCTTTTTAAGACTATCTTGAATGAACAACAAACAGGTTTTTCATAATGGTCCAGATTCAATTGACTCATGATCTCAACTATTAAAATGACTATAATACCTACAGAAACCCCTTTTGATATTAAACATAAATTTTTAATTGCATACAAATAAACAATATCTGTCAGACTAGTTAGTAGACTAAAGTCTATCGATATAAAAATGTTATGATTGAAAAATATATCATAATATTATATATTGGAGAGTTAATTAATGATTTAGATCTTATATTGTGGTGTATGCTACTGATGTCGATACATATAAGTAGTATATATGATCAATAGAAAGTGAAATACATAGCCACAGAAGGCTAAAAAGATAGAAGGAGAGAGAATGACAACAAAGAATGATTGGTATGGAAACGAAAAAACAATGAAATCTGAGATGATTGATTGACATTTTGCAAATGAAGTTTTGACTGTATGCTTCTAAGCTTTTACCAAGTAGTTCTGTAAGTGATGTGTCCAAATACATTCGATTTTCCTTACTTGTGTTCTCGTTCATTACAATATTAGCTAAAACTTATCAGTTAGACATGGTGTAAACTATTACAGTGGAAAAAAAATCGTTAGTAAATGACTTAAGCTTCGAATAATCCCAGTAGAAAATGAGTTGTCTTAAAAAAACCACGAAATCTTGTTAACATAACGAATAAGGTCCTGGGCTCGAATCCAGCGAACATGGTGGTGAATATGCATTGTTAAGAAGTCTCATACTAGAACGAAGCAGCCATCCAGTAATTCCAGGCTTCTCATAGTTTACTCACTTACATACGACTGTTGCCCCCAATGAAGCTTAGGCCGCCAACAAGAATTCTCCAACTCACTCTGTTCTACACCTTCCTTTCTAGTTCTATCCAATTTTTCTTCATTTTTCTCATATCTGTCTCCCTTTACCGATGTAATGTGCTCTTCCGTTTTCCTCTCTTACTTTGACCTTGAGGATTCCAATTAAGATCTTGTCTTATAACGCATTTGAGTACTATTCACTTCCATTGTTTCTTCCTAATTTCTTCATCCACTGGAATTTGATTTCTTCTCTTCCACTGTAGATTATTGCTAATAGTGTCTGATCAACGAATCCGAAGTATTTTGCATACACTACTATTCATAAACACTTGTATCTTCTGGATGATAGCTTTCGTAGTTTTCCAAGTCTCCATTCCATACAGTAGAACAATCAACTCATAAACTTAACTATTATATCATGGATAATGGTTATAAATATATATATATATATATATATATATATATATATATATGAAGAATCATTTCAACACTTACTACAACAACAGCATACAAAACATGAATTATGATATAAATATCCCATTGCATAACATGTATCAATTAAATTAATAATTCTTAGACCACATTCAGCACAATTACTAAAAATTCTTGAATTAGATCCTAATATAGATGATGAAGGTGTATAATTTCCTATTGATTCATTACCATTTGTATAATCATTATTTCTTGATGTATTAACACCTATATTACTATTATTATTATTATTACTATTTAAAACTGTATTAGTATTCATTGAATTTGTTATGAAAGATGAAGTATTTCTTGAAGAAGATAAATTCCCAATTGAATTATTTAATGAAGTTATTCGGCTGAGATGTTCATTCTTCTTCTTCTGATTGTTATTATTACTAATAGGAATTTGATATGATGATAACATTCAATAATATCAATTCAGTAATATAGTTGTGTGTATTTTTATTCTTCTCTATAATATAAAATGAATTATTCCACAATATTATCATATATATTCATATAATGAAATATCATATATGAAAAATATTAACTTTTAATGATAATATAATAGGGTAATATGAGTTATTTATATTCATATAAGTAGTATATAATAATCGTCAAGAATGGAAGGTATTTCAATAGACGATGAAAAAGGAAACAAAAGGTTCATATGAATTGATGTTTACAAATATCCCTCCAAAATTTATTTACATCATTTAAATATTGAACAAAAATAGTTCTTCATTTAAACAATCATTACGTATATATATATATATATATATATGCATATGTATATGCACATAGATAATAAATAGAGTGAACAACCCCCCTTGGCACACATTAAAACATTTTGAACCAATCAATTTAATGCGTTCAACTGACATACACATCATGTAACTTCATTCTTATTGGTTAAAAATATTTTCTAATGTGTTATAGATTGAATAATTGTTGTTGTTGTTGTGTTTTTTTTTTAAAAAAAAAAGAAGAAAAAATCAATATTCCAATAAAAATCGATAACATGAAATTTATCAAATATGCATATAAGATGCACATAATAAAATTTTATAATTATATTATTTATTAAAAATCTAATAAATTGTGATATTAATAAAGAACAAGAAGAAGAAGAAAATGAAGAAGAACAAGAACAAGAAGAAGAAGACGAAGATAAAGAAGAACAAGAGCAAGAAGTAGACAAAGATAAAGAGGAACAAGAACAAGAAGGAGATGAAGATGAAGACGAAGAAGAAGAAGAGGAACAAGAACAAGAAGACGAAGATTGAAGAAGAAGAAGAAGAAGAAGAGGAAGAAGGTATCTATAAAATTTCAAAGAATGTTCCACCTAACAATCTGGTCCAAAGTTTTTTTCGAAATTATCGAAAATACTGAATATAAATAAGGAGTCCCAAAATAGGATGAAACGGTTGTCCAGTGCTTCCAGATTTTCTATGGTGGTCTAGCTTCAATTGACTTAATTGAATTCATCTATTGAAGTAGTTGGTTCTCTGATTAATTATGTATTATTTATTTATCTGAACACATGAATATTGGTACAAGAGAGCGCCAATATATATGCGCCACACAAAACAATGAGAATTCGAAGAGAAATAGAAAAAAAAAGAAAAAAAGAGAACAATAACGAGGAGATTGGTGTAAGGTAGTATGGTAGAAATGAGGGAACGGAAAGGTACAATCAGAAGAAATCTTTCAGGTAAGGGAGACACAATCACTTTTTATGAAGAAAGTAAAAGAAGGTTACAGCAGGATCGCCACTGGCTTCTATTCTGAGCCATATCTGATAACTTCTCTAGCCACTGTGTAGCACCATCTCTCGGACCCCAACCAGGGAGTCGTGAAGGACCAACAGAAGCCAGTCCTTTACAGATTTCCTTCATGCCACGACACCATGTCATGCACTGACCACCTCTCCGCTTCTTCCAACCAGTCCCAGAGTCGGCAAATAATGCACGACGTGGAATTCTCTGGGACGACATTCGGAGAACATGTCCAAGCCACCGAAGTCGGTGTTTCAAGATGGTGACACCAATTGAATTATCATCTCTGTGCCCGAACACACGATGCCGAACCTCTGGATTACTGACATGGTGTTGCCACTGAATGTCAGCAATCCTTCGGAGACAGCGATGATCGAACACAGAGAGTCGTCTAACGTCCTCAACTCGGAGAGGCCAGGTTTCACAAGCATAGAGCAAAACTGCTGTCACCGACGCGTTGTAGATCCGACATATCACAGCCAGACTAACATCACGAAGGCGCCAAAGATGGCCCAGATTGGCATAAGCCGCTCTGGCTTTCACTATACGTGCATTGATCTCATCACTCACACCCCCACCAGCACTTATACAGCTACCCAGATACACGAACTTCTCGACTACGTCTATCTGCTCACCATCCAGGGTGAGTACAGGATTGGAATCCTGCCAGTCTTGTAGAAGTACTTTGCACTTCGAAGGTGCAAAGCACATATCATACCTACGGACACTGATTGCCAACTGATTAAGTGCGGATGTATGTATTAAATAGGTAATCGATTCATAATGCAGGTCTATTATACATTAAAATAAAGATGTAATTTAAACATTGTTAACGTTGATTAGATGACCTATGTAGTAGGATATAGTTAACCAGTGAACAATCTGCTTATTGATATTCGATAATTTTGAGGTTTGATTATAATTCCTTGAAAAACTTTGGACAAGATTATTATTTATTTGAGCACATAAATATTGATACAAAGTGGCAGCGAATAAATATGCGCCACACAAGTCACTTCATCTGTGTATTGGCTATGATACTGCCCGGGTGCCCAAATCGAAGTAGGTGGTTTTCTTCGGGGACCACACCCGGAGCCTTTGACCTAAAGGTCTGACCCACAAGGTAGTGGAGCGACGTTAAGAGATGCAGTTCCATGGTAGTCGGTGACCAACAATAGGTTCATATACCATTTATTCACTTAGGATCCTGGAGCTCATGTACATCACTGGTATGGACTCAGGGTTTTCCGACTCCCCTAAGCGGTTCTTCCACATCCATAAACCCAGTGAAATTCCCGATATGCGCTTTTCGTCCTCTCAATTTCGTAAACAATAGTAATGTCGCAAGAAGGCAATGAGTAGGATTTATCTGACAGTGGTTGTATACGCGTGGGCATGTGAGAGCTTTTGGAGAAAGAGAGCTGACTCTCCTCACCCTCGGTCGTACTAGGGCATTTGGGGTGGGGCGATCAAGAGTCAAAACACTGGATTTACGTGAGATTTTACAAATGCATTCTTCCACCTTAAATCAGCGCCTAAACACTGTAAAACTATTCGATCATCTCTAGGATAAAAGTTCTTATATATTCTATTGGGATTAAAATTCATTTAATTAAGTACAAAATACAGAACATAATTATGAATCTTTATTATATTGATATATTTATTAGTTAATTTTGATCAACTTAAACTTTTGAAATTCTTAACTCTCATAGAATCATACCCTATGATACCCTAAAACCTTCAGATGTTATTCACTGTTGTGTTGTCAATATACGTTACTAAGATCAGTTCTTTATGAATATAGGGAGAGAAAAATCTTTTCGTCATTAGAAAGTCCATGGAATGTATCAATTTAGCATTAATAAGGAACGATAAGCTAAAGAGATATGTGAAAATCATTGGGTCCCTTATGCGTCTATAAAGATGCTCCCATTTAATCTTTTATGAAAGCATCATCATTATAGAATATTTATCTTGTTAAATGATCTAAAAGTGTTCTCAGACCAATGATGATGAAGTATAATATGTCATTCCATTCTGTGTATCTTGGTTTAGTGTTACATGTGTATAATAAATTAAGGTTACCTTATACTTTACCAATGAATATTCAAAAACTTCTCCAACTACTTTAATTTGAACATGAAAACAGAACTTTATGCACAAATGTATACGTGGTTACTGATAAATGTAACATTCCATACAACATGATTTTCTTTTATTCTCAGCTTTTCATACTTCAGGATTTATCCTTCAAGCCCTAAACTAACTAAGTCTAACTTGACTAATTTGTTTCATCAAAGAGTAAAATTTTAAAACTATACAAAATTATGTCATCATTAGTGATGTGACTACCCTACTTTGTATATTTGTTTCAATTATCGCAAACTACTAACTATTGAATTTAGTAGTATAAAATCAAGGGATAATTATAAGAGATCATGTGTTATATTCAGATGTTGAATGAAAATACATTGACAACATTTTATTTAATTAGATGTTGATTTTGTGCGATTTAAAGCTAGATAAACACTCAGAACATCGGCTCAAGTTGCCGTTCCCCATTAGCACAGAGAAATAAAGTTATCAGGCCAAATCCTAGAATAGTAGAGGTAGTAACAGTATCAGTAGGAATAAGGAAGATTAGACATTGAAGATATGACCCGAAAAGGAGATATAAATTAGAGAGATGAAAATGTTGTGGGTAACTGAGAATCAAAGGATTTAGAGGAAGACAAAGCATGAACATACTAGCCCATTTAAAACGATTTTCAACCATATTACTCAAAGTCCTTAAGCATTGGTTACGACAGTTACACTGACCTCAGCCAGATAGTCAGCACATATTAACATAGCTCAGTCCATTTATCAGTGACTTCATAGAATAATGCGATGTTTTGGTTTAGCGGCCACTAGCTTTCTTCCAGTCTATTCCTACACCACACAACATCACTTGTCGAGGTAGGCGGGTGATGGACATTCGTAACACATGTCTCAACCGTTTCAGTTGATAAAGATTTACTACATCAATAATCATTTTACCATCTTTACCTAGTGCTGTATTCCTAACCCAGACATTGCTTAATTCATGGTCCAAAAATACACGACCAGTTCTTCATAGACACCTATGATGGAATACCAGTAACCTACGACTATCCTAAAATCCTAATGGCCGTATTGCACATCCATAGAGTAGAATGGAGTGAACTGATGCGCAATAAAATCATCCTTTGGCTAAAGGACAGATACATCACCTACGTCTACGTTGACTCACAATAAAAAAGTCGATCGAGCCTCATGTATCCTTGCCCAGATTTCATTAGACACCAAACAATCATGACAAGTAAAGCAGACTATATGTTCAACTACTTCACTCCCTATCATCAATTCAGGCAATGACGCGAGCTGATCCTGAAGTAACATTCTGTATTTGGAGGTAGAAACCATATCACGAACATTCTTACATTGTCACTTAAAGTGTTCAGAAGACTATGAGTTTTGTCAGCGTCTTCACCAAACATTATTATATGATCTGCGTATTCAAAGTTAACAAGTGAATCTTCTGGGAGAACATCAATCTCTTAAAAGTCAGACGATGAAGGCGTTGTCTCTTAAAGCATGTCTATGACATATTTGAATAAGAATAGGTAAAGCGGAAAACCATGACGAAAACCATTTGAAGTAAACAACTCCGATGACAGTTCGACATAAGCACTGACTCGAACATTACTGTTCGAGTACGGAGTCTGGACAAGAGTAATATATTTCTTCGTTGTGCCTTTCAATGACAGATACTGTCAAAGAGCCTCAAGACCAGCGGAAACGAACGCCACCCCAAGGTCGAGGGATACAACTATAGTTGGACGTCGAAAAGTATGTCTATGTCCTAGAATCTGCCGAAAGGTGAACATTTGGTTTATATATCCACGCTCACGTCTGAAACCAGCCTGGTTTTATCGGGTTCGCCT